TAAAATCATCCCCCCTTATAGACTTGACGAAGAACATCCGCACGAATCATCAGACCTCCTCTTTCTCACCAAGTGAGAACAAACCTTATAGGTCTGACTCACTTCTTTCTCGGAAGACGAAATAATGACTGTTGGTCAGGAAATTAAATAGGGTCTGCCATACGAGATACTGAAGATAGCAGCACAGGAAAAACCACGTTTGACCGGAAGAATATTTAATGATCTGCGGAATCAAGAGTTTCTTATTGAACTACAGGAAGCAAATCTGGTTTTGCTTCTCAAGCCCGGGAAACCCCCGATTCAACATCCTTTTACAGGCCAATATGCCTCCTAGACTGCCTTAGGCCAGCATAGTTTGTGTAGAATTGGCCAGTTAATTAAATAAAACAAAACAAGTAAACAAACACACTAAACAAACTAACAACAAAAAGAGTAACATTTAAAATTGAAGAAATTCTTCAATTACAAAGAAAATGTGCGCAGTCAAAAATTCTTTTAAATTAAGTTTAAAGTTTGTCATGCTCTTACACAATTATATCTTCTTCTTCTTCTTCTCGTGCCACTCCTAGCGGAGATTGGAAATCATCATGGCCACTGCGACTTTGTTAGCAGCGCGCCTAAAAAGTAAAACTACACCCGAACCATTCACGTAGATTACGAAGCCACGATATTTTTCTTCTTCCCACACTTCTTTTGTCCTGCATGATGTTTCTTAAAAGTTCGTACTTTTCACCTCTCACAATGTGCCCCAAGTATTCCATCTTTCTAGTTTTTATCTCATTTAGAATTTCGCATCTTTTGTCTAAAGTTTGGAGTACTTGCGAGTTAGTGACGCGGTCCATCCATGATATTCTGAGAATGCGCCTATAGCATCACATCTCGAAAGCTTCGATGTTTTTTATGGTCAACTGTTTTAGTGTAAAAGCCTCAACTCCATATAACAGGGTAGAAAAGACATAACAACGCAGCATTCGTATTCGTAACTTTATATTGATATCACGATTGCAAAAGAGTTTGCGCATTCTATTAAAGACTAATCTAGCGATTTCTATTCTACATCTAATCTCTTTTGTTTGATCAGTATCGTCTGTGATCCAAGCACCTAGATATTTATAACAGGGCACACGCTCAATCGTTGTATTGTCTATTACAAGATTAGCTCTGATGTTCTTTGATTTCGTGATTACCATAAATTTAGTTTTTTTCAAATTAATTTTCAAGCCGTAACTGTTACAATATATATTGAGACTTTGAACGAGATGTTGTAGTTCTACTAGCGTTCCCGTTAGGAGAACTGTATCGTCAGAATACCTTATATTGTTGGTCGTCTCACCATTTATTATCAGACCAAGATCTTCTTCCTCGAGTGCTTGTTCACAGATAGCTTCACTATACAGATTAAATAAAAGTGGCGATAAGATACATCCCTGCCGGACTCCTCGACGGATTTGAATTTCTTCTGTTACTCTGCCCTCAACCTTGACATTTGTCGTTTGATTCCAATATAGATTGCATATAATTCGAATATCTCGGCTGTCTATATTTTTCTTTATTAGAACTTGTCTTAGTGGTTCATGTTGTACTTTGTCAAAGGCCTTTTCGAAACCAATAAAGCAGGCGTAAATTTCTTGGTTCATGTCTAAGCATCTCTGTGAGAGAACGTTCATTGCAAACAGAGCCTCCCATACAATTATATATGCATTGTTAATCTTTTAAATAGTCTTTGTCTCATTATACTAGAAGACCTGAAATATATATTTCCCCTGCATATTGGGACACGTAAGGTATCTTTATATCTAATATTTAAGTTATAAACTTGACCATTCTTTTTAAAATTGTCGAGGTTATTAAATACAAATAAATAAGTCTCCAGAATATAAAGACAGGCGAAAAGCAGTATTTTAAATTTGTGAAAATATTGTCTGCAATTAGTATTATGAGGGATACCAGCAATAGACCATATTTTTCCTTTTTGTGCAATAAAGACTTCATTAATATGGCTACTTGTTCCCCAAAAACAAATCCCGTATCGTAGACGGGATTCAGCCTGGGCATAATAAAGCACTATTAATTGTTTCTCCGTTAAAACTTGATTTTTTGCCTTTATCGGTAAAGCTGACATATTCTCGACGTGCAGTTAAATAAGATGTTAACCAATTCAATACACGTCCTTGAATACCCATATATTTATAAATTTCGTGATTGACACAATCGAAGGCCCGCTGAGATCACAAAATATCCCAACAGGACTTTTATCATAAAAGGAATGACTTGCTGTATGAGTAGATTTTTTAGATTGGATTTGGAGAATCCAAATCTGTGTTCAGAATGGCATTTCAGAAGGCTGAATTTTGGTAAATGATACTTTATAGTATAAAATACGCCTGTAAAATTTAAGCCGCGATATAAAATCGTGATGGGTCGCCTGACCAACTTTGCACAGTTGACGTGGAACTACTCTTAAGAGCATCATCATTCTGGATTCACAACCCTGCTGCTCCATAGACTCGTCTTGGTACTTTTTATTCGAAACTTCCTAACATGTTTTCATTATTTTTTGTTAGAGTCCAGGTCTCTGAACCATATGTTATGACTGGACGTATTATTGTTTTGTAGAATTTTATTTTTGTATTTCTTGATATAATTGTGGATTTAAGGAGATCGAGCCCAAAAGGCATCCGTTGACCGTGCAAATTCTGCGGTTTATCTCTGCGGTAGTTTTATTTTCAGTGTTTAAGGAGTGTTCCCAGGTATACAAATTCGTTCACTGCTTCGATGACGTCGTTTTCTATAACAACTGGTCGTAGGATTTGTTGTTGCGTGCATATTTTCATATACTTCGTTTTGTTTACTGATTTATTATATATTGAACCAATGATACAATGGTTGTGATTTGTGACATACGTATTACTTTTTCCAAATCCAGATTGAACAGTACACAGTTATTTGTTTTGAAAGTATCAGACAGTTCCCCCTGAATTCGTACTCTACATTCAACTTTTTTCACTGAGTTAGTTTTGTCAAATTTACCAACTGATTTGGTATTCATAGCTTTGAACATTTCTCTTTTATTCAGAGTCGTAAGCTACTTTGTAGTTTATAAATATGTGATGAGTATCTATGCCATATTCCAGTGATTTTTCTAAAATTTGTTTTAGGGTTGCAATCGTGCGCGCCACGAAATGCTACGTACTCTCTACGCTACTTTACGGCATAGAAGGGTGGACGTTAACAGCAGCAACTATAAAGAAGTTAGCGGCTCTAGAAATGTGGCTGTATCGACGCATACTGAGAATACCTTGGACAGAGTGACCAACACAGAGGTATTAAGACGAATGGGTAAAGAGGTGGAATTGTTAACAACTGTTAAAAGGAGGAAAGCGTCATACCTGGGCCATGTGTTCCGTAATGATAAGTACAGTCTGCTACAGCTTATCGTGGAAGGCAAGATTGAAGGTAGAAGAGGTTTGGGCAGAAAGAAGAAATCCTGGCTGAGAAACTTGAGAGAATGGTTTCAAATACCAGAAGCTGCGAACATAATTCATGCGGCACAAAACAGAGAAACCTATCGTATGATGGTCGCCAACCTTCGGTAGAAGACGGCACATAAAGAAGAAGTTCTGCATATGATGCCACACGCTGACATAGTACTATGGAAAATATTTTATACGATGGATTTAGAAGCATAATTCCTATGTGTTCAAAGAGATATCCTTTTTTGTTTATGGTGCAAAGCATTCCAATCATTGGGAAGGAAATTCTGTGTTCATATTTCTTTTATAAGCTGCTGTGATGCCATTATGGTATCGTTGTCACCTTCTTTATATAGTTCAGCTATATATTGGACAGGAAAGGACAGGAAAGATATTATCTATTCCAGGTGATTTGTTTCTGGCTAGTTTTTTTAACTGCATCTTTAACTTCAAGAATCGTTGGTGGTTCCTCTTCCCTCTTATCTGTTTCCCTTACCTTATCTCTTTCGTCTTCCAGGTTTTCTTCTTCTTCCTCTATATTAAGTGTCTGGTTAAAGTATTCCACCCTTCTATTCAATACACCTTTCCTTGTTGTTAATAGGTCACCATTCTGACTTCTGCATTGTTTTGTGGTTGGCTTGAATTCTTTTCTGTTAATGTTAACTCTCTTATAGAATGCTGTGAATTATTTCTCTCAGTTGAGGTTTCTAAATATTTTAATTCCTTATTCAAACGATATCATTTTTTTTTCCTTTTGTGTATCTTTTTTCTTCTCTTCTCTTTGTCTGGTAATTCTCTACAGTTGTTCAAGTTCTTTGGGTAAGCATCTTTCTGTAGGCTTCATTTTTTTCTTCTGTTGCATTCTTCATTAATCGTCAAACCAATGATTTTTACGGGCACAAATTTTTGTTCCTATTTCATCTTTCTTTGCTGCTGCAATGTCTTCCTTTATTCTGGTCCAGAAGGAATCTATATCTGTATAGCCTTCTTTATTTACATTTTGATTCCTTAGCCTGTTAGTGATATTTTCCCATTACCGTTCTGTAATTGCTGCATCACTCAGCTTTTGCACTTTCCATTCTATTCCATTTTTTTCTATCCATTTTATTTTCTTTGCTGATGTTTGAAATTCTAGCCTTCAATTTTGACATCACTAGGCAATGATCTCAGTCTATGTTTGCGCCTCTATAACTTCTCTACTCTTAAGATATTGTTCTGAAATAATAATAGCTGCAGGAGCATTTATTTTCAAATTTTCGTTAAATATACCCTAAAAATTATAGTTTTTGTATTTTAATAATATAGATTAATTATCGGCATTCTCTTTAGTTTTTCCTCCCCATTGGTATTTCGTTCACTCTTTAACCTTAATAGTCTCCAGTGCATACTGGATGGCATCATCTCCAATTCCTACAGTGGAGAATTTATAACATAAACAACATGCGGTTGTAAAGTTGTAAAAACAAGTTTTACCAATAATATTGACAGTTTTGGTGGTTAAGTAATAAAAAGTAAGTAAGTAAGTATTAAAAATATATGCAGATGTGTTTATTTATATTCATCCTTATTAAAATATACTAGGTAAATATATGCTCTAATACTATAATAATTGTGTATTAAATTTTATAAAATAATATAAATTGGATAAATAGTACACCGATGTATGTAATCATTTATAAAATTTTAAGAATTACAAAGGTCTTGGTATTTTATTTCTGAGCACCAAAGCGCTTTCTGCTGATATAATAGGCAAAGCATTTTCGTAATGAAAATCGATGAGGTGGCTGATGCTGTTAAATATTCTATCTTTCGTCCTTACCTGAAAACAAAAAAAAATAATTATTAAAATTATCTAGTATATAGATTTCAAAGGTGTCGTTTTAGCAAATACTTTTCCACATGGCGACCTGAAAGATCTTTTGTATAGTAGATTGAGGCTTTCTTAGATGCCTAAATGCTTCTCTCGATCTTGATCGTCCAATATAGCAGTCAATTTCTTTGTATCCCAAATTTTACTTTTATTATCTATAATTATTTGTAAAGAAAAAGCATGGTACAGTATGCCGTACAGTAGACTAGCGCGCAGCTGCATACTATGTCTTCTGTATTTTTAAAATTTAAATACTATTATTAAAATCGAATAAAGTAATTTTATTATTTTTTTATTACTTATATTTTAAACAAATTTTATTATATTAAAATAACTCAATAAACTATTATGTTTGCTCCTAACTCCACCTGCTAACGTATTACCAAAGCATACGTTGTTTACTTCTGACAGATCTGTCAAATTTAGACGAAATATTAAATAAATAATAAAATATAATAAATATCATTTGGTGGTAAATTCAATTATTATATAAACTAAATAAGATGTTTAAAAATAATAATTGTATTTATATGAAATTATTTCATAAAAATTTAAACAGATGATTCAATATTGTTATTAGTTTGATGACATTTGTGACTTTCAAATTTTGACACTCGTTGCGAATCTAATTTTTTATTGATAAATAGGTATTTTTTCACTTAATTTTTTATTTTGATTTAATGTCTGTAATACATGGTGTCAGTCAGAAGAAAATGTTAAAAAACTTAATATGGATAATCAACGGTTGAGTCAAATAATCGCCGATATGGAAAAGAGATTAGCATAGCTGGAAAAAGCCGAACAATATACAGAGTTAACCGCAAGTGCTGATGAATCACAAAAGAAATTAAAAGCAGATAAACTTGAATACTGCACCGATGAAGAAGATTTAGCGTATGAAACGGGCTGGATAAGAAACGAAAACAGGAAAACTATCAAAAAACGTAAAATGGATACCTCATTATCTCCTCCATTTTCGCAAAAATGAAGTGCAGAAACACGATATTACCTTCACAATGAAAATCATAAACGGTGAAGTTATAAAAATTATTACAGCCAATAGCGATCATTACAGAGTTTTAATAGAGAAATTAAATACGAGTAACCTTTCGTACCGCACATGAAAATAAGCAAGAGGAATACGTTTTATTCTGTTGATGAATATTTTAGTAGTTGACATTATTTTAAGTATATGCTAGTAATTTTACATTTTCTATTTGTGTAAAAGACAAATTTTGTCTTGTACAGCACAAATATTTGACCCTTTAGGGCTACTTTCACCGGTAATAGTTACATCCAAAATTATTCTTAAAGAGCTCTGGAAGCTCAAGATAAATTGGGATGAATATGTTTCTGAAAGTATTTACACACTTTGAACGAAATACTACTTCGAGCTCACAAAATTAAATACTTTAAAAATACCTAGACATGTACTTTCTTCTAACCTAATCTCTGTTCAACTTCATGAGTTTTCAGATGCTTCGGAGGCAGCTTACGGTGCATGCATTTACATATGCTGCACGGATACATTTGGAAATGACACTTCAAGTCTTTATTGCACCAAAGCTCGAGTGTCTCTTATGAAACTATTAACTATTCCAAGACTCGAACTCTGTGGGGAATCACTACTTTCTGAACTTGTTGAAAATGTCACTTCATCTTCAAGCGTTTGCTTTAAAAATATCACGTACTGGACTGATTCTAAAATTGTCATTTCATGGATAAACACCTCTCCCCATTTACTTAGAACTTTCATTGCCAATCGAGTAACACAAATACAGAAGCTGACTAATCTCGAACATTGGAAGTATGTTAAAACTTACGACAATCCAGCAGATCTCTTGTCACGAGGTATAAATCCTTCATTACTCATTAATTCAAACTTATGGTTTCATGGCCCCTGTTGGCTCACTTTACCCCAAGAAGAAGATTGGACTCAATATACAAAACATCAAGAAGTATGTATAACTTCTGAACTACCTGAACTACGCAATAAAACTGTTGTGTTTCATCACATCGACAATAAATTTATCTTTTATAACAAATATTCTTCTTTAAATAAGCTAACACGCGTTTTTGCTTATGTATTGAGATTTAAAGACAATCTGTCGAATCCTAGACATCTACGAATTACAGGTCCTCTGTCCACACTCGAACTTAGTACTTCTCTTTTAACATTAATTAGGTTTGTACAACGTCAATCATTTCCATATGATTATGATGCACTTTCTAATTAAAATCAAATTGACAGAAGAAGTAAACTTCTTGGCCTTAACCCATTCTTTGATACTACAACAAAACTAATACGTGTTGGGGGTCGTTTACACCAGTCATCATTTGATTTTAACAAAAAACACCCCATAGTGCTACCTTCAAAACACCATATCACGATCCTCAGTACTCGCCACGAGCACTTGAAACTTTTACATATTGGTCCTCAAGCACTTCTTGCTTCCTTACGAGAGAATTACTGGCCAATCTCAGGGCGCAATTTGGTTCGAAAAATTGTTCGTAATTGTGCCCGATGTTTTAGATTCAACAATAAACCCGAACAGTATCTTATGGGCAATCTTCCGGAGTCGAGAATCACACCTTCACGGCCTTTCACGGTTTCTGGAGTCGATTATGATGGTCCCGTTCTTTTACGAGATAGAAAGGGTCGTAATTACAAAACTTCTAAGGCTTACATTGCTCTCTTTATCTGCTTCGCCAGCAAGGCTGTACATTTAGAAGTTGACAGTGACCTCACGACAGAGTGCTACTTGGCGGCACTACGCCGATTCACGGCCAGACGCGGTAAATGCTCCGAAATCGTTTCAGATAACGGCAGCACTTTCGTGGGAGCAAATAACGAACTTAAACAATTTTTTGACAAAAACTCTCATGCCATTACGACAGACTTGCAGAGCGACGGTATTCAATGGTACTTCATTACTCCACGCGCTCCTCACTTTGGAGGGTTATGGGAGTCAAATATTAAATCAGTTAGGCACCACATGAAACGTGTAGTAGGTAAAGCAATCTTAACATAAAAAGAAATTTCTACGGTTGTAAATCAAATAGAGGCTTGCCTCAACTCCAGACCACTTTATCCTCTTTCTAATGACCCAAGTGACCCTAATCCTCTTACTCCTGCACAATTGTTAATCGGATCTTCATTGACCATGATCTACATTGAGTATACCACAACAGAACTTAATCGACATGAATGAAAATCGTCTTTCAATATTTCAAAGGGTGCAACAGTTATTACAGCACTTTTGGAATCGATGGTCCAAAGAATACATATCCCACCTTCAGCAGCGGTTCAAGTGGAAGGAGAATTGCCAACAGCTGATCAAGCCTGGACGCATGGTTCTGGTTAAGGATGATGGACTTCCTCCCTTAAAGTGGTAGTTAGGTAGAATTTTGAAAACTTATACCGGAATTGACAATACTGTGCGGTCAGTTATGATAAAAACAAACACTGGTGACATTAAACGACCGGTTGTGAAAATTTGTGTTCTACCAAACCAAGATCAATAAATTCTTTATGACTATAAGTACTATGATCTTAGACACTTTATTTAAAAAACACTTTTTTATTTAATATTAAAACCCAATCTTCTGGGGTTTCAAGGTGGGGGAGTATATGTTAAGTACGGACCTGCTCGCGCACATCATAGTTTAAACCCGACTAATTGTGCGCCTGCGTCACGATCAATACCGATCGAACCGAACGCGTTCCACGGAGAGAGGGTGGCATACGCCGGGAGGAAGAGAAACCAAGACGACATTGACGACAACCCCACTTGGATAAAGATACTTTTAAATTATATATTTTAGTTATTATTGTACAGTTAGTTTGTTGTTTATAGTGCGTGTTTAATAAATTTATACGTGAAATTCTCAAAATACTTTACACACGCTTTTCCATCAAGATTGATGAAAAAATAACTCAAATCGATATAACAGTTACCCGACTAGAGCATAGCGCTAAAGGAGCTATTCCGAAAATCAGAAATGGCTAAGGACCTCCGAATAATGGCATGGGACGTAAAAGGACTGTTACAACATCAGATCTAGTTGCAAGCAAGTGTAATGTAAATATAGCAAGAAAATAAAGAATAGAAAAATAAGGGCTAAGTAGCATAGAGAGGATAAAAATTATTCAAAATAATTATCATATATTTCAACTTCGATACAGTAACGTATACACGTTAATCTATACAAAGAAAAGCAATTTGACCCAGTTAGTTGCATGACACGAGCCAGTATCAGTTACAACAATTGTTCAAAAAGAAAATAGTCACGTTTTAATAAACATAGACCTACGCTGGAAAATATTACCAGCGCCGACCTGGTTTAAATCATGAGGACTCAGCAAAGTAAACTAGGAATGTTCGCGGGACATAAAAACTAAAAAAAAATTGTCAACCAGGCAGTCAGTAATAGCTGGGCACCGTGACTGCCCGCCAGGCAGTGATCGCCGGCTCCGGGTCGGACGCGATAGCGTCCAGTACGCGATCAGTCAGTCAGTCAGTCAGTATCTCTGGGCGGAGTTGTCAAGGCGAGAGTCGACACCAGGTGCGGATTACGCGCGATTGTTATATTTCGACGGGGTATAGTTCCGTATAAGTGTCGGGTACTGAAAGAAATCCGATTTCCAGAGGAACTGAAGGGCGTATCATTAGCTAGAGCCTAAATACGCGAAAGGTAACAAAATTCTATATACTAACCCGAGTAAATTATAGTATTACAGATTGTCACCCCTTTACTTTCTTGCTAAGATCTCTTCTCGTCTCCCTTCGCGCTGAACAAGTTATTATTAATTATATCTGACAGCTTGTTAACTTAATTGTAAACCACATAGTATATTCAATACATTTGTAAACTCTAAATTTGGTTTTTATGTTCCTTCCGACCGATTCAGACAGAGACCAGAAGAGTACCAAATTTCGGCTTATACA